TACTTTCATATAACTGGTCCCTACTGCAAAAGAACTGGACTTTGTGTGATTAGTGCCAATTTCAAATTATTGCATTACTGAGATACATTATTTTCATGATACGGCAATATTTAATCCCCAAATCAATGCCTCTTATATTTACTTCAGACTGTGGAAGAGTTCTTAAGATTTTGACTCCTGAGTGGCTTGAAACATTATTGGCCCAGATGCAACACAACATTACAGAGTCAGCAGACAAAGCTATTTTTTGGCCAACTTTTCTGAAGCCTGACCCTTTAATTAGTTATCTCTAACTGTTCTGGGCACATGCTCATATCGCCAAAGGAAATTATGACAATATACAAATAATCTTATTTTTGGTCCTCTTACAAGTCATTTGGAAGGACAGCCACTAGGTTTTTCTTAACAACTCAAAGTCACCATCCATCTCATGGGCATTCACATTCATACACAAACTTTCATTACTTTTGAGCAACATAACACTGCCAGCACCTACTTCATCTGAAGCCAGGCTTCTTTTTCTGATCAATCTTTAAAGAATAATAAATTTAAAACAAGCTTTGTTTCCTTAAACCAGAACAGCAGCATTTAAAAGTCTATACATGCTGTTAAATGAACTTTGTATATACAGCTTACTTCTTAACGGAAGTCAGACTGTATACAGAAAGTCTTTTATAAAGAAATTATAAACTTAACACTCATAACTACTACCTTAAAATGGTCCATCCAAAAGTTTTCGAAGTACAGAACGTGAATGACTGCCATTTTTTTCGCCTTCATTATTTTACTTACACAACTATATACAAGCCTTTCTTTCTAAACTTAGGAAAAGGGATTTGAGTGTGGGTAATTTCAAGAGTAATCAGTAACAGCATTACAAAACAGGCACCCAGCCCATAACACAGAAAAGGATGGAAAGAAGTCTTGCCCTACAAATTCAGAGTGAGAACACATACAAGAATGAAACCATCTAAAACAGAAAAGCAAAATGTTAATGATATGCTGTGTAAGATGCAATAAATAACACATGTCATAATTCAGATACAAGTTTCCTTTATCACTGCCATCAAGTGACAGCAGATTTCTAATAATTTACACATTGACAGTACCTAACACTTGAAAGGGACACAGTGAGGGCAAGTGGAACATAATTATTGCTGCAGAGGATTCACAGTCACCTCAGTTGTAAATGGGCTAAACTGTGGCTTGCCACTGATCAGTTTACTGAAGCTCAAAATACATCTCATCATAGAAAAATTCACCAAATATCTTGAGAGGAGCCAGTGAAGCTGAACATGAAATAATGTCAAGTAGGTAGGAGAAAAAACTATCAGCTAAGTGACTCTACCTTTTGCATGGTTTTCCACTTACAGTCTTTTAACAAATGGATCTGACATACAAGTACCAGTACTACTCCTTCATTATCACCACATAAGCAGATTTTTCTCACTCTGATTTGCCTTTGTCTTTTTCTTAAATAAGCATACAAAGATAAATACATGCACATTTACCTCTGCTAATTTATGTTTTATTTCACCTTTCTTATACTCTGCCATGTGCAGCAAGGTCAAAAGCCAATGGCACACATGCCAGAAGATCAACTAAGGCAGATTTTGACTGTTATACAGTAGAGATTTACATATTTGTCAGAAATGAAGCAGCTGCCAAATTACAGCTCCTACTCTCTAAAATTGTATGCAAGACCTACTACTGTGCTCCAGTCAAAATTTCTGAGAGGCTCACAGTAATCACTAAGCTGGAACTCAGTAGGAGACATAAGATTTAGCAAGATAGTACTTGTCAGTAAGGAAGTATTTGTGAGAGCATAAGTATTTCTTTCTCCTTTTCCTCCTGGAACTCCGAACTTGTCTAGAAATGGGAAATGTATCAGCATGTGAATGCTCTGATATGGGAAAGCAAGCGCAGTTCACTAGATCATTCTTGACAGACTGCGGACCTCCACTGCAGAGGACATGAGGACATGTGTTTTTTGCAGAATATAAGTACAGCACTGACTTTTCTAAATAAGACAGAGATTTTATTTTGCTTTCTGTGCTGAACTGAAACACTAAAACAAGACCCAAATTACTCTCCTACAGAACACATTGAACAAAACACTCCTCTAACTGAAAAATATTGTAGAAGATTTCAGAGCTCTGCAAACAGATGGATACATACAGTGTAAGATGCATACCAAATCTGTCAAGTGACATGAATAATAGTTGGCCAATCTAACGTACTACTGCACAAACTGCACACAATGGGAGTAGAACAACAAATTTGTCTGTATCAGTCTCTAAATTAAGATGTTGAGAATCTATCATTCAGTTCATCACAAGGAACACATTTCTGTCCTGTCAATACAATTGCCCTCCTCCACTAGCAGTAACAGTTACACAAGGAGGTGAAACAGCAACGCTGTAATAAAGTTACAGTTTTTATCAGATTTTTCTGTTCCCCACAAGAATTAGTCATAAATTAGGAATTCTACTGGTAATTCCAGCTATTACCTCTTAAGCTATGATAGTAAAATGACGATTTCAAGAACTGTTCCCCCAGTTAACCCTCTGGAATTGTTACAAAATGTTCAAGGAAGTAATGAGGAGCTGTTTACAGGAGAAAGCTTTGAGGGGAAGTTGTGTGAGAAGGTGAGTAGGTAGGGGGCCAAGTTCACATCTTTTCACATCTCCTACTTCTTGTATCTCAGCACACTTTATTCTCAGCACTGCAAATGCAGAACACTGCCACCTCTAATCACTTAGGAGCGTCTAACGGAAATAGGCTCACTTACAGAATACACTACTAAAGCGTCTAACGGAAATAGGCTCACTTACAGAATACACTACTAAAGTGGTCAAGACACTCACAAAAATACCTAGCTTCCAGAGTAAGTCTAAACAAGAGAGAAACATTAAGAATGACCAAAATACAAGGAGACAACGAATCTATGTAAACATATGCATTAACTGAAAGAATCAAGACAGAAGCTATGTATTTGACTGAAAAAAATAAAGTACATGTTGCTGGTGTATTAGGATAGTTGCATACAAACAATACAGGAAAAAGAAATTGATTCTGCTTTTTCATACAGGAGAAGCAAGTGAACAATCATTAATACCCAAGTAACTCTGAAGTTTAACATGCATATTATTATTGACACACATAACACTACAACAAAGCCTTTAGTAGGACTCAGAAAATAATATATACATACCCACCCCTCTCTTTTTCCCAAATAGCTTAATTCACACTACCAACACACCAAAATGAAGCTACCTGTTCACAGACATAAATATCAGATAATTAATTTAAAAAAAAATAGCTGACAAGCTTTTCTGGAGCACCAATATTAACTATTCCTAAAAATGAGCCTTCGCTTTGGCATAGACTCTCTCCTGTCCATTCCTCTTCATGAAACCTTTCATGCAATGTATACCAAATGATGTGATTACCAGCAGTTATTACAGCTAGACCATGGAAGAAATTTTGTGATTCCACAATAAAAGATACTTATTTTCCTGAAGTAAGAGTTTGCATAAATGCTTCAATTCAGAATAGGATTTAATTTTCTAATCCATAACAGCATAATATTTTACATCGAATGTTGCATGCAATGTCATGTTCCAGCATATACATCACTGAAATATTTCCATGATGAAAGGGCCAAGTGCAGCAAAGTACTTTTAAGGCATGAGGCCCTATCATCAAGATAAGACTTGCATTTGAGAAGCTTTCCACTCCCTCCTCCGCTGTGAACCAAACATCTTCCCCACTTTCGGAAAGCAAGAGCAAAATAATGGAGGTGGTTTTGATGCAACATACAGCTAACAGATGTCTTGTGAATGGTTTCTAAGGAAAATATAACCCAACTACGATGTCAAAAAGAAAAATTTACACTATCAAAACATCCTTCTTTATATGTAAAGGAAAAAGAAGCCATGAGGACAGCTCTCATTCTTCGGAAGCTTTTAAACTTTACAAACACAGCAGGTAGGTCAAATTAAGAGGACAAGTATCAAAAGATACAACAACATTATGCAAGGCAACTTTTACTAACATTGTTTACCCCAGAATTTTTGTATGGACAGATGATTCATTTCCTACATAACAAATCCAACACTTTCTCTGAGCAACATAAAATTATCTTCCTCTGTTTCTGTCATTATGGCCATTTTTGAGAGCACTGTTTTTCTCAGAGCACATAACTACCCTGAAGTGGGAAGAATTTTAGAACCCCAAATGGTGAGTCTACCTCCTGACACTGCAGAGAGTTTCTGTTCCTGCAATACAGTAGTTCTTGTTCTTTCAGTCACAGCTATAAGCAATATGGAACATCTATGCAGACAATTTCTTAAATGTTTACTGATGGCATTATGATACAGAACGGGAACAGATTCCTAAAAAAATTCTCTTCTTAAATCACTCATACAGAAAGAAGAGTGGTTTACTTATAGGTAAAAAAGGCATTAGCATTCTTTCTTAAAATAAATAACAAAGTAAGAAATACTCAGCTTTGTGAGGCTTTGTTTGGGGCTTTTTTGTTGCCCTCTTTTTTAATTTTTTTGGGTTGTTTTTGTTGGGGTTTTTTGGGGGGGTGGGTTTTTTTCTTAGGAAAAAGCAGAAAAAATGAGGCATACAGAGAGCAGAAACTGTTGAAAAAACTAACTTAATAAAAAAACCCAAACAAACACCTGAACAACAAGCTGACATGCTTATTATAATCACAGTGAGTGGATAGAAAGCTAAATGTCAAGCATTACTACAAGATATAGGTCAACAATTTCTATTGTTAATGCCATTCAGCAGGTACCCATGGCAGGAGGTAAAATCACCTAATAACAACTTCAGTTGCCTAAAATAAGTCAAACTGTTTCATCCTTTCCCTATTTTGTCAGTGAACAAAACTGCTGCTCAGAATTCATTTTAACCACAGGAAGGAAAAAAAACAAAAGAAAACAAAATAAAAAAGAAAAAAAAAAAGGAAAAAAATCCATCCTTACCATTGTGATGAGAACTCTGTATTTATCCAGCATTGCCTGATTGTCATGGCATCCTGCCAGCAACTGCCAAACCTCTGCCCTTAGTGCTTCTGGAACACCACTTTTCACCAGAGTAGACAACCCGTTTGGTCTCACAACAAGATTATTGTGCCTGAGAAACAAACAATCATTTGAATATTATACTTACTTGAATAGAAATCAAAATAAAAATCTTTAAAAGTCTTTAACTTCCCAACATTATTCTGAAAAGTAGAGTTAACTACTGGAAACATAAACGTTTCTTCCACTGGTTACACTAAGTAGTATTTGTCAGATGGAAAGCAAAAATTCTGCAAAGATTTACAATAAGAACCAGTGGCAAAATATAGTTATATACAAATTCTCCAGGTGTAGAGAAATTAATGAAAATTAAAACAACAATCAGTTGCAGAAATTTAACTGAACTGACTAATGAAGAACAACTGGAATTGAAAGTGGAAACCATGCACCTGTGCAGACAATTCAATTTAAATATTTGTTCAACATATACATTTAGCTTAGGTTAAAAAAAGGAAATTAAAAATAACCTAGGCTACATAGAGAAGTAAATTTTGGAAAACAAACAAAAGTCAGTTTCAGAAGTACTAACATGAAAACTGAAGTTCTAGTTTTAGACTTCATGCCAAGAGTATTTTGCAAGTGCCACAAAGCCATAACACTTGCACATAACTTGGTAAAATCCCACCATTCCAAATAAATCTGCCTATTAGTCTGAGCTGGTGATTTACTATCTTGTGTGTTTGTACACACACCAAGAAATGAAGGAAGACAACTGCAGGATGACTGGTGTTTTAATTTTCAACACTGTGCAATTAATCCTACAAAAGGTGGTACACTGAATTATGAAAAGGCCATAATCAGACAGACTGAATACTAAAGATGTGTTTTTCAAAAAATAATCCAGTCACTAAACCCATGCATTTATGATAAAAATCACTGCACATGAACCATATTGCTGAGCTTTCAGTCACAGATGTTTAAAATCCTGTCTGAGTTAATAGTGTTTACTGATCTAGATTAAACCTTGCTTTGACTTACGGTAATTTTCATAGCAATGCAGCAGGAAGCCTGTGTGAATTAACTCTTTATTCTTTCCAATGTAGGAAGTGCTTTGATCTGTTATTGTTTTGACCGTTATTATGTTCTCCACTTGTAGGAGAATAGTGAGAGCAGCAGTTTAGCCAAATGCTAGCAAGCTGCAATTAAATTAAATAACCTACAATTTCATCCTCCATTTTAAGGGAAGGTTTACAGTACTCATTCTTTGAAACGGGCCATCATGGTGTAAACAGTTCACCACTACTGTTTAAAAGGTGCCCTAAAGAAATTTCTTCTTCCTATGCTCCAAGGAGTATATGCCCATTTTTCCAAATGACTTGAGAATTCTAAGAAAGAGTATGATTACGTAATGGCCTTATTCTTTTAAGCACTAAATTATTTTAAATTTTACATGTGTACTGCAATACAAGTCATTTCAAACTTTACCATTCAGTTAGCCAAATTAAAAGCCAATTAGTCCCTTTTCTCTTTCTCAGTACATACTGCAGCAAAATCACATTAGACTAAGGCCTTGTGATGTGAAAAAGCTAGAAATAAAAAATATTCCTGGAAATATTAAAAGAACTAGATAAGTGGTTACAAAGTTTTGAAAAGTACTATCAGGAATAAATTAAAAAAAAAAACAACCCCCCCACAAAAAAAAAAATCACCGCATCACAAATTTAAAGCTCAAGATGTGTGAAAATGAAGCATCCATAGCTCACTTCAGATTAGTTTGGGTACTAATTGGAGGTGGGCCACTAGGATGATCAGAGCACCTGTCCTATGAAGACAGGTTGAGAGAGTTGGGCTTGTTCAGCCAGAAGAGAAGGCTCACAGGAGACCTTACAACAGCCTTTCAGTACCTAGAGGAGCTCTACAAGAAAGCTAGAGAGGGATTTTTTACAAGGGCAAGTAGTGACAGGACAAGGGGGAATGGATTTAAACTGAAATAGGGAAGGTTTAGATTAGATTATTAGGAAGAAATTCTTCACTATGAGGGTGGTGAGGCACAGAACAGGTTGCCCAGAGAACTTGTGGCTGCCCCATCCCTGGTAGCATTGAAGGCCAGGTTGGACAGGGCTTTGAGCGACCTGGTCTAGCGTAAGGTGTCCCTGCCCATGGCAAAAGGGGTTGGAACTGTATGATCTTTAAGGCCCCTTCCAACCCAAACTTCCTACGATATGTGTTGTATGAAAAACACAGGTGTCCTTCACTGAGGACTCTGTAAGCATATAAAATACAATGAACAGCTGAAAAGGAACATTCCCACAGAAACGTGACAGGGAATTTTTCAGCAACGTGAAGAAAACAATACAAATGGCTTATGGCAACAGCTAACAGAGATACAAACGCCAAGCTGTAATGCCATCCTTACTAGCGAACGTACAACTGAGAATTAAACATGCTATGGTATACCAGATTTCACTGGATTTGTTAAATACTGAAATAGTTTTATGATAGAGGTAATCCTTTAGCAACATTAATCCATGCAGTAAAGCACAACTTTGTAATTTTAAGAGACAACTTCTCAGTTTCTCAATGTCTGTTTGAGAAACAGCTTGATCATTAATAGTCCTTGCTCTGTATTCTGCTATAATGAACAAATACGCATTTATCCCTCCTTTGTGTAGAGGCCCAGGCACTTTACATTTCTAGACACTTTCTGACATCTGTTTGGACAGACCATAAGAGAAACAAGCATAAAAAAAAAAAAAAGCTTGTCTTATCCTAGTCTTATCCTTTAGCATGTTTGGTTTTTTTTAGGGGAAAAGAAATGGGTCATTCATGAATGCTGACATCTTTTAATTTGCTACAAAGTGCTGTAGTTCTCCTGCACAAAATGCAAAGACAATTTTAAAACACCAAAGAGCAAGGATATAAAGCAGCAATGCATAGACTATGTTCCAACTTAACAAGTAACCAAATATTTGTAATCGAAGACTGCTACTGACTGTTACTACTGCTAAAAAAAAAAAAACACAACAAACAAAAAAGCCAAAACTAACATAAAATCCAAAAACACACGGAAAAAACAAACAATTAACAACCCCACCACCTACACATCAGAAATAGTTCCATGCTGAGCTAAACTAGCTTGCAAGAGCAACTTCCATGCTGGGGATGTTGCAAATAGTAAAATAATTTAAAAGTTATTCCATTACTTCACACCTGCTCATTGACTCTTTAGTAAATTATATTATTCTTATTGCTGTTTATATGTTTGAAGGAGACTCTTGGAGCAATGTTTCTGCTGAGTCAGGCCATTAGGTTAGAGTGACATTTTAATGGAATTACAAGAAGCAATTAAGGTGCAAGAAATTTTTCATCTAACAGACAGTTTTCCAAGTGGAAATTTAACAAAAGTAAATAAACAAAAATTAATAGGTGCACAGATATTCCACTAGCATATGGTGCAATTTTCAACACAAAAGATTTTACTTCAATCTATTTTTAGCTTTCAAATTGTTAACATTTATCATATGTTACTGTTTCCAAGTTTTGCTCTTAAAATAGAACATCATGCTATTCAAGAATTCAAGTATTTTATACACTTGAATTTAACTCCAAAGTTAATATTGCTTGAGACACACCTGAAGAAAATGTTTGCTACTGCTAGTCTTTAAGCTGTCTGGGATTTCTCATTTCTCATCCAATTTTTAACTGATTTAAAGTAAGATGTTTTAACTACTAAATGATTCTCCAAGTTAAATGCATATGTTAGGACTTCAAAATAGTTTACTCCAAAAGTCTTAAATCTTTTGTCTCACTGAACAGTATACAACAGTAACTTGAAGAAATAGTTGGTCAGGTGAAACTTGAGAGGATGAGCTGTGGGCAGCTTATTACTTCAGCATGCTTACCCACAGAAGTCCAGGTATTTGGCACAGGCAAAAACTAAAAATAATCAACCGACAGCTGAATTAAATAAATAAATAAAAATCAGAAAGTAGCATTTTCCAATGCAAATGCAACGCAGATTGAAATAAACCTGCCAAAATCATTGCTGGCTTTGAGGTGTAAGATAAAAAATTATAAACAATTTCTAAACTCTCTCTTGGGATGTCCTTTAGAACAGGCTTTGGAAAGTTCTAAACAGCTCCAGAGCAGATCTGTTTACAGCCTTTTTGGGTGAGGAAAACATACTTTATAGGGATCAACTGACTCCCACACTTTTCCTCTCTGTGTATTTGTACGATCATTTCATTAAATATTTGTGCTTCCCAAAGAGATCTTTATTGGGTGACAAAATAGTTTAAAACAAGCAGGAGGAAGGGTTTCATTAAGCTCAATAAAATCCTGTGATGTCTCATTTACTAACCTCTGAGTAAGATCTCAATTGAAGTTGAGGTCAGCAGTAACAGGCTGTGTTTCTCCAAAGCTACAAAGTGACCAAGTAAAGGGGGGAACTGACCAAATAAATCCTTAAAATGTTTTTCAGCTCTCTTTTTGAAGTCAGGAAACGAAAATTTTGCCAATTCCAGATTAAGGGACTCCGATTATTTTTGTCTCAGGCAGCAGAAGCTATTACTTACAAAGGAAAAACCAAGTAAGTGGTTCTGGCATTTGCTAATAGCGTAAGGTCTCTTAGAGATAGCAAATACACAGACTTTTTCCTATCTTGGCAAAGCATATGCTGTTACTGAAGCACTTTATTAAAACGATAAAAATAAGACTGCTGAGAACATACTCTAGGGTTACAAATAGCCTCCATTTTACTCTCCAAGAGTAACAGTTTCAGTGAGGATCACAGTCTTTCTAGAACTCCTTTTCAACTGCCTACATATACCCCATTAAAAAAATAAATAAATTAGTGTTCATAAAAAAATCATTCAATTAAACATACATGAGCAAGCACAAATGGCTTACAGAGGGCAGATTAGAGTTGTTCTGTCTTTTCCACTCTAGCACTAAGAAACACTGACTTTTGACGACAGCTTAACATCCAGCCCGAAGGTGCCCAGAAAGTTTTGCATTTGAAGACACACCTGCATCCTCAAACACTGAATGAAACAAGACTTTTGCAGACACTGTGGGAGAAATTCATCAAATAACTGAAAAGTTAAAATAAGAGGATTTACCACTCACTTTTAAAGTGACAATTCGAAGTTTCATATTTTAATTTTTAAACTATGTAAGCTGAAGAATTTCAAACCTCCTGCTAAGAGCATATAGTCTCATAAAGCAAAAAAAGGTTAGTATTTAGAGTCTAAATTTAAGAAATAAAGCATTACCATCTCCCCAGTAATTCTCCCCAGGAATACAAAATCTTCTCAGGACAATCCTTTGACACATCACCAGTGCCACTGGAGAGTTCATTATCACTCTCTGCAAAAGAAAAATAAAAGGAAAAAGAAACAGAAAAAAAAAATAAAACCTAAAGCATGCACAGATTTACCAAAGAGAACAGATATTAAAGATGCATACATACAGGTCTCAGACAAATTCTTCTCATATATCAGTTTTAAAAACATCAAATGACATGGAAAATATTAGTAGAATCAAAAAGAAGGTTTAGCAGACTTGACAAAACAAGCGTATTGATAAAGTTACCATAAAGTTTAAATGAACAAGACTCGAGAATAGTTGACAGCTTCCATTTGAAGTACAGCACATAATGCTGCTTTATTATACTGCATCCCTTAGCTGTCACTCTGCTCCCATGTGATACTCTGATATCAAGAAGCCTACTCAGAGCCACAAAATAATATTGTTAATGAAACCAATTCACGGATAAGCAGCAAAAAACAACACTAACTTTTAAGGTTATATTGCATGTAGCAGAAAAGAATGTTTCAAATGGAAATCTCAAAAGTATTACTAATAAAACACTTACAAAGGGATACAGGTCATTATATGGCTAATACACAAAGCCAGAAGAGTATGTGAGCCTGGGACAGTGTGCTCACCTACCTATCCAATTTTCAAGTGTCTTACGGGTCTACGCAGCTGTCCACAGTAAGTTGACCAGTCTTAACTCTTCCGAGCAACTCATAGAATCATAGAATCATAGACAAGTTAGGGTTGGAAAGGACCTTAAGATCACGTGGTTCCAACACCCCATGCCATGGGCAGGGACACCTCACACTAAACCATGTCAACCAAGGCTCTGTCCAACCTGGCCTTGAACACTGTCAGGAATGGAGCATTCAAAACTTCCTTGGCCAACCCGTTCAGGGGCCTCATCACCCTCACAGTAAAGAACATCTTCCTTATATCTGAATAAAACTTCCCCTGGTTAAGTTTGAACCCATTACCCCTTGTCCTATCACTACAGTCCTTAATGAAGGGTCCCTCTCCAGCATCCTTGCAGGCCCCCTTCAGACACTGGAAGGGAGCTGTGAGGTCTCCATGCAGACTTCTCCAGGCTGAGTATCCCCAGCTTTCTCAGACTGTCTTCATACAGGAGATGCTCGAGTCCCCTTAGCATCCTTGTGGCCCTCAAATATCATGAAATTACAACTTTATGTATAACACATAAATAAAAAGAAAAAACAAAAAAACCAACTCAACTTTTCATTCTCATTCCAAGATAAAATTCCTCCCTACTTCTGTGAATACCCAGAGTCACATTGCTCATGAACGCAGCTTTGCAGTTATTTGGACTTTTTTCAGTTTTATCTGAATAAAATGCTGCTAAAAATTAAACATAAGTACAATTTCAACAATCCCAAATGTTGACAGGGCTCCAACTCTAAGCGTCTTTACTACACAACCTAAACACAACAAAGAGACACAGCAACAGCCCCATTATTCTCAGAAACTATGGACAGTTTGGATTTCAGAAGGTCTCCAAGGCTGCCTTCTATAAACTGAGCTGTCTCAAGAAGCTAAAACAGAACAAAAAAGGAGGACCAAAGCTACACCTGCTTCCCAAATCCCTCAGGTAATCTCTTCACACTACTCAGTCACATCTGGTTGTTGGCCTAATATCTTTAAATCCTCAGGTACGTTAAACACTTCACCTCCAACTTTATGTAGATAACAGTAGTAGTTCAAGCAGAAGAGCGTCTTCAGTACTTGAACAATTATCCTCTTAAGTCTTCACCCCCATCACTCTCACTTCAATTACACATTTCTAATTTATAGTCTCAGCAACTGTCATAAGGCATTAATAAAAATATCATCAGTGCTTGAATTTGACAATGGACTGTGAAGACAAAGATAGCATAAACTGTATTTCAAGGACAATTAACATGCTGCCCTGAGAGATGAGAGAAGCTTATCAGAAATCTCTCTGAATTTCAAATTGTACATTAGATTAGCAAAACCCTTTGAAGAGACTGAAGAATTATAGTGCCTCTCTACAAGAGCTACTGGTGAAAACAAACAAATCTTGCAGACTGAAACAAAATCTGATAAAGATGAGTAAAATCCCAAACCAGAGCAAAACGTTTATAAATGAACTTACACTGAATGTTTTCAGGAACAAAGCACCCTAGTTGTTATCTGATCCAAACCTGAGTTTGCCAAGGAATATTAACATCAGACAAAAGAAACAAACCCCTTATTTTCTCACGACACTGGTATTCTATGCAAAATTCTTCTAAGTTCTTAAGGAGATCAGTGTTACATAGCATATGTACTCCAGCCAAATGTATCACAAAGCTACAGTGCTTCGGCCCTGAAAATTCTTTCATCTGGAAGGCTTATCAATATTTGGAATTGTCCTGGGTTCAGCAGTAGCAGTCATTTTTCTCTTTCTTGGTAGCTGGTGCAGTGCTGTGTTTTGACTTTCGGGCTGGGAACAGAGCTGATAACGATGATGTTTTGGTTTGGCCAAGGACTTCGTGAGCCTCATGCTCTGCCAGGGAGGAGGGGAAGCCGGGAGAAAGCAGAGACAGGACACCTGACCCAGGCTAGCCAAAGAGGTATTCCATAACACAGCACATCACGCCCAGGGGGAGTAACTGGGAGTTACCCAGAAGGACACGGGGGTCTTCTGGGTCAGACTTGTTTTTTGGCAGGTGGTATTGTATTCTCTTCCCTTGTTATTTTCTCTTATTCTTGTCGTTGGTGGTAGTGGTGGTGATTTGTGTTGTACATTGGTTGCTGGCCTGTTCTTGTCCAGCAGGAAGGGGGGAATGGACGGGACGGGCGAGAGCCTCATCTGCTTCCAGCCTGGCACCACTCACTGGGAGTAAGTGCATAAGCTGGCTGGCTGGGTTTAAACCATGACAGGAATGCATTATTCAGTTATATATGAGAAAATCACAGGCCTTGATTAGAAATGCCACATGCTCCCTTTCAAAAGATGCTAACGTCAAAATTCAAAATGGAACACAGCAAAGAGAGCATAAACAGCTTTAAAAATACCTACTTTGTTTCCACTATTCTGACCTGTGTAAACACTTAGGTATAAATTGAGGAGGAGGAAAAAAAAATTATATATATATTAAAAAGTATGTGTTTATATATAACACATATATAATTTTATATATATATTTAAAAAAATGAGGCTGTGGGAGGGATATTTAACTGTACATGTTCTTCTGAGGTGCACTTACATACTTCTTTCTTTCCCCCTCCATATTTTATAGCATTTATAACCCAGCAACATTAGCTAGAGCATGATTTTATCCATACTTATCCTGCTGGAAATGCCAGAGCTTCCTCCCTCTAAATGTGCTGTGCACTTCTCCCTTCTTCCTTTACTTTCCCTGACCTCTCAAAACCTATTAAATGGACAACAAAACTCATGCATCATCAGAATGAGAGGAGGATGTGAGACATCTCAAGGAAGAAAACTTAGAGGCTGGGCTGTAAATGCGTTCACTTGGAAAATATAAGAATACTTGCAGATAAAAGTACACCACTTGGCTTATTTGTTTGCTTGGAATTGCAATGTGATTAACAAAATTCACAAAAAAGCTGTCTGGATGCCTCACAAACCAAATCCCTGAATTCAGAGTCTGTTTAAAGCAAGCCTGAAGGATTGCACTCACACAGCCAGCATCTGAACAGCAAGCATCACTCTGCATAGCATCAGCACAGAATCACATAATACTCCAGGGTGGAAGACACCTCTGGAAATCATCTAGTCCAATCTCCTACTCCAAGCAGCTCTAGTTACATCAGGTCTCAGGCACCAGTGTGGGTAATTCGATCTCAGACGGTGTTGGCTGGGATAGAGTTAACTTTCTTCAGAGTAGATAGTATGAGGCTATCTTCTGGATTTGTACTGGAAAAAGTACTGGTAACACAGGGATGTTTCAGTTACTGCTGAGGAGTGCTTAGAGTCGAGGCTTTTTCTGCTTCTTACACCACTCCAACAGTGAGTAGGCTGGGGGTGCACAGGAGTGAGGAGTGAGTGAGCACCTGCCTGGTGCTCTTCTGCTAACTGGGATTAAACCACAACAGGAGGGTACTCTTGAACATGTTCAAGAAAGGTACCCAGGTCCCTCTGAGTGGAGCCCAGCTTCTCAGCATTATCAACCACTCACCCCAATTTGCTATTATCCACAAACCTGCTAAAGGTGCTCTCAGTCCCATCACACAGGTTATTAATAAAGACATTTAACAGCACTGATCCCAGTACTGATTCCTGAAAGATACCACTACTTGCTGGCTGCCACCTGGACTCGCACCACTGTTTGATTCTTTCATCCCAGCAGTCCAGCCAACTTTCCAAGTACATTACTTTTCACTTAGCCAGTCCCTATCTCATTGATTCAATTATAAGGACTCTATGCAACACAGTGTTGGAGTCTCCGCTCAAGATATACAGCATCCACCACCCACCTCTTGTCCACAGCACTGGTCAGCTTGTCACAGAAAGCAGTGAGGCTGGTCACAATGATCTGCCCTTCATAAATCCATGCTGACCATTCCAAATGACCTTGGTTTGTCCTTCACATGTTTAGAAACTACTTTTGGGGGTATATGCTCCATAACCAGTCCCATGGACTGAGGTTAGACTGACCTGGAACCTCCTTCTGGCCCAATGACATTTGCTTTTCTCTTTCGTGCATTTGCCATTTGCACAAGTTAAATACTGAAGCCTGTACAGATATGACTCGCATTGGGGAACGATCTCTGGATGACAGATTTTGAATGCAGTCTGTTTTGTTAGTCTACCTACAGCCAAACAAATGTATAAAAAAGTGGTCTTTTTCAAAAATCTGTAGGGACATTAAAGAAGAAAACTAAAAAAAAAAAAAATGAAACTAACTGAAAAAAGGTGGACAGCATATTGGATATACTTAATTTTGTGCCTACTCCATTTAGAAACACTCATTACATAAATTATTCAGTATATGAGCAGACTATTCAGAATAGGACAGAGAAGAGTTGTATTTTAAGTGGCCCAGCGCTAACATTTATTATGT